GTGTGAGAGACTGAGTGTGAGAGACTGAGTGTGACAGTGTGTGAGAGACTGAGTGTGTGTGAGAGACTGAGTGAGACTGTGTGTGTGAGACTGAGTGTGAGAGACTGAGAGTGAGACTGAGTGTGAGAGACTGAGAGTGAGACTGAGTGTGTGTGAGTGTGAGTGAGAGTGTGAGAGACAGAGACTGTGTGAGAGAGAGAGTGAAAGACTGAGCGCGTGAGAGACCGAGAATGCACGCGAGTCTGCGAGCGTGCGTGTGTGAGATCTGAGCATGAGAGACTGAGAGTGTGCGTGTGAGACTGAGTGTGTGAGTGCGTGTGAGAGATTATGAACGTGTGAGAGAGCATGCGTGCGAGAGCGATTGTGTGTGAGTGAGAGAGAGATGCACAGGCTCTAAATTTGGACCGCCTGGGTGTAAATCCCAGCTTTGTCACTCACTAGCTTTGTAAGTAGTAGAGCGTCAGCAAAAAAGAGGAAGACCCTCAATGAGATGGATTGACACAGTGGCAGCAACGAATTTGCGGTTGGCACGGGCCCAGGCAGTATGGTGTTCTGTTGTACATAGGGTCGCTATGAGTTTGAACTGACTTGACAGCACTTAACAACAACACCACCCTTTTAAGTAACCTTGGGGAAATTACACAATTTCTCTCTGTGTCTCAGTTTCACCATCTGTAAAATGAGGAAACAGCATGACTCACAAGGTTGTTGTGAGGCTTAAATGAGTTAATACGTGTAAAAGTACTCAGAACAGTGCCTTGCATTTGATACATGTGCGTGAAATGTCAGGCTCATTGGTTAAGAACTACTGCGACCCTACTTTGGTGAGTGGCGTCTGGGGTCTTAAAAGCTTGCAAGCGGCCATCTAGGATGCATCAGTTGCTCCCAACCACTTGGAGTAAAGGAGAACGAAGAACACCAAAGACACAAGGAAAAGTATTGGCCCAAGAGACAGAATGGGCCACATAAACCAGAGACTTCATCAGCCTGAGACCAGAAGAACTAGATGGTGCCCGGCTACCACCAATGAACGTCCTGACAGGGAACACAACAGAGGGTCCCTGATGGAACAGTAGAACGATGGGATGCAGAACTCAAATACTAGTAAGAAGATCAGACTTAATGGTCTTAAGACTGGAGGTGCCCCAGAAAGCATGGCCCCTGGTCTCTCCATCACCCCAGAACTAAAACAGTTTCTGAGGCCAACTCTTCAGACAGGGTTGGACTGGACTGTGGGACGTAAAGTGATACTCGTGAAGAATGTGCTTCTTAAACAAGTAGATATAAGGGACCAAAGGGGCGGCTTCTGTCCAGAGGTTAGAGGGGAAGGCAGAGAGAATTAGGAGCTGGTTGAACGTTCATGGGTAATCAGGGGTGGAGGGGAGGAGTGTGCCATTGCAGAATGGGGTGAGTGGTTGGGATCTCATAACAATGTATGTTAAAAAAAAAAAATTCTGTATGGGAGACTAACTTGAAATGTAAACTTCATTTAATTACATCAATTAAAAAAAAAAAACCACTGCGAGCTACGGCTGCTAACCAAAAGGTCAGCAGTTCCAATCCACCAGGCACTTCTTGGAAACTCCGTGGGGCAGTTCTGCTCTGTCCTGTAGTGTTGCTATGAGTTGGAATCGACTGGACGGCAACGAGTTTGGTTTTTGGTTTTGGTTGCGGTACCTTACAAGAACAGTTTATGACCTGTGTAACTTATGATAACAGGTCCCTTATGACATGGGCAGAATGATCATGCCCATCTTACAGATGTGCAGACTAGGGCTCAGAGAGGTTCAGCACATCGAGGCACTGACAGGTTTTTGTTAGAGAACAGATGAAGATTTCTTTTTTGTTGCATGCTAGGACCTGCCCCCCCGGACCAGTGCCAAGGCCCAGAAGGGTGTCCCTGAGCCACCACATCTAGTCAGGTCCTGTTGATTTTGCTCCCTATGTGCCTCTAAAACTTGTTCCCTTTCTCAGCACCCCAGTGTTGTTGCCTTGGTTCAGGCTGTTACTTCTCATCCAGTGGTTGCAGGGCCCTGACTGGTGCCCCAGCCTCATGGCTTGTCCTGCTTCATGCCCCAACTGCCACTGGAGCAATCGTGCTAAGTGTGAATTTGATTGGGCCATTTTTTCTGCTTCAAATCTTCCAGTGGCTCTTGAAGCCACCGTGCATCTTACGGGTCCTTCACCGTCCGGCCCTGCCGTTCGCACAGTGGTAGGGCCGTGCTTCCCTTCCTCAGGGCCTCGGCTCTGTCCTCGCTGTCTCCTCTCAGCTTGAAACATGTGACTCTACCCAGTCTCTTCAACCGAGTCAGGTCCTGAGTTCTGGACTCCCCTGAGTACCACCACCTTCAGGAAGCTTCTTCCCTGGGGCCTTTATCCTGGAGTGTCCCAGAGAGCACCCCTCACGCCTCAGACATTGTGTTTAAAGATGCAGTCTTCCTTGTATCTGTATTTGTTACCCACACCTCCGGACACGGGCGCCTGAGTGCAGGGACGGGGCCAGTTTATCTTGGTATTCAGTGCTTGATGAGTGCTGCAGGGTGGTTTCTTTGGAGCCTCTTGCACTGGGGTTCTCTCAGCCCGTCCTCTTGAGCCAGTACTCTGTCCTCTTGCCTCCTTGCCAAGACCTTAGCTGTTCATGCCCACATCCACATTTCTGTTCTTAAAGGCACCCGATGACTGAGGACAGTTTTTTAATTTACATTAGTTTAAAAGGGGCGAGGGGAGAACTAGAAGGATTGTCTTCATTCAGAGAACTGTTCTTATCCTGTTTTTCTCTAATAGTGACTTGAACCCCACTAAGAATTCTGGACCCGTGATTGTTCATGCAAGCAAGTGTGAAAAGTACGGTACGTTGGCTCTAGATCCCACTTCTTTCATGGCCAGCAAGCAGCGGGGTGCTGGAGCTAAGAGCTCCCCACTGTCTGGGTCTCACTGCACGACAGGTGGAGGGAGGGCTTATGCTCTGTTCCTATATGTTGTAGTGTTGCCATCGAGTCGATTTCAACTCATAGTGACCCCATGTGACACAGCAGAACTGCCCTGTAGGGTTTTCTTGGCTGTAGTATTTATGGAAGCAGATTGTCAGGTCCTTCTCCTGTGGAGCCACTGGGTGGGTTTGAACTGCCAGTCTTGGTTAGCAGCTGAGCGCTTAACCGTTGCACCATATAACCCACCTCACATTGAGTCATACTCGAAATCGAGTGTCCGCTTCCTCCTTCATGGGGCGTTCAGTCTCTCTGGAGGCTCACGGTTCTTCACTTTCTCCTCCTGTGGCTCCTCTTGCCACCGTGGAGAGGACCAAGGTAAAGATGGCAGCTGCGTGGGGAGATGGGCATCCATGGTGTTGAGGAACAATGCTGGTGGGTGTTGGTGCCTCAGTGGGCATGGGTGCTGAGTCCAGGTGGGGGATAGGGACCCCTTCCCCCCAGGCCGTGGTTCTCATCACTGCTTAGCGCTGTCTCTCCTCCTTCTGGATGTTTCAGTTGAAACCAAGTGCCCCCACGAAGCAGCTTATGACGCCTTCCTCTGTGGGTCAGGTAAGGGTTGCTGTTCTTTCCAGGGAAGACTCCTTTTTATATTTGTGACAAGCCCCTGTCACCCTGGGCACCCCATTTATCTCCAGTTGGTTTGTACTTCTGGAAATAAAACAAGAGTTTCCATGTTTGGATGAGGCGATCATGTTGTGACTTGAAGTGTATTACATTTCTAGCTTTCTTTTCCAGTTCTTTTGAAAGTGGCTCACTTGCTTCTACAGAGAGTACAGGGGTAAGTGCTTCTTTCTGTTCATCGTTTTATCTAGTGGTTGGTAAGGATTCATTGAGCCCTTGCTGTAGGCCCTGTGGTCCCATGTCTACACTGAAGAGGGAGGATGTGCAGGGTAATGTGTGTGCTCGGCTGCAGAGCCCACGTCCACGTGTCTTCATTGAGGGGCTGGGCTCGGTGTGGTGGTGTCTGGACGGGGCTGGGCTGATGCTGGAACAAGACCATAGGGGCTTCATGTCAAGGGGTGACGAAGTGGTGCCTCCTCTGAGCGCCTGGCCTTGCACTGAGTCTCTGCTCCTAATGTTTGTCACCAAACTGTCACCAGTGGGCGATGATCCCTCAAAGCTCTGCTCTTGCTTAGGCTGTTGGGAGGGGTCTTGAAGTTGTTAGCTGGCACACTGATGGAGCCCCAGGATGTGTGAGGGTGGAAGGAAGGCAGCGTTGTCGGAGGCGGTGTCCTTCCCTGGTTCTGTCCCCAGGCCCTTGGCTACAGTCAGGAACATTGTGAATGAACCCTGGGCCTGAGTGCTGGGGCCTTTCTCTGTCCCTGTAGCAGCTGTTCCACATCGGAGCCCTCCTTCCCCCAGTACCTGGACGTGCTGGCCCCTTACGTGAACCAAGTGAATCTGATCCGAGCTGGGGTCCCTAAAATCGTGAGTAGACTCCACGTTGCCCCTTCACTCTGTTTGGAGGCCTGGGGGGTGGGAGGCAGAGCTGCTTGACTTTCTCTGAGATGTGCTAGTGGGGTTCTGATAATAACCACACCCCACTAAGCTTGTTATTACTGCTCCTTGTGTTTTCCTACCAAAACCCGACATGGACTTCTTCAGTCTTCCCTTCTCGCCTCTCCGCCCTGTCCCCCCACCCCACACAGAGCCTTTCCTGGCTTAGCTTCTAGGATTTTCAGATTGGAGAAGTCGTCAGTGAGAATTGCAGAAAGCCCCTTTTGTTCTTCTCCATGTTTTCTAGAATTTTTCTGGTCCGGATTACCCCAGTGTCCGACCTCCCATCCTCATCCTCAGTGTCAAGAGGTGGCCGGGGGTCACTGAGCAGCAGGTCTACCGGGAGTTCCAGAACCTCTGCAAGTTTGACGTCAGGCGCCTCACACGGAGCCAGTTCTTGCTTCTGACCAATAAGTTTAAGGAGTGGGTGCCTCGGCTCTCAGTCTGTCTCCTCCCTGCAGCCACCCCCATCTCGGCGCCTTTATCCACGCTGGGCCTGGGGGGAGCGGTGGGTCTAGTAACGTTGCTCCACTGACTTGAGACCACCTCTGTTGGCAGTGCTCGGAATGTCTTAAAGGAATACAGATGTCACCCCGACCTCCAGGTGTCCCTGTATCGGTATTGGAGACATTCGCCAAACATCAACTGCTTGTTACAGTAAGTAGCCGGCGGAAGCGTCGCCTTTCTGATTGCCCCGCCTTCCCAGCGGGTCTGAGTTGAGCCCCGTTCGCTAGCTGGTGGCCGTTGGAAGAACTTGTTGACGAGGGTGAACTGCATTCAGCAGCGTTCACCAACGCTTATTGAGCATCGGCTGTGGTGGGCACGCTTCTAGGATCTAGGGATTCATCAGTGAGAAAAAGAACAATCCCTGTTTTTGTGGAGCTTACGGTCTTGCAGGAGGTAGTGAACACTAAGCATAAAAATCGGTGAATTATGTAATACATTAGGTGGTAAATGTTTATTAAACCAGGAGTCCCTGAATGGTGCAGGTGGTTAAGTGCTTGACTACTAAGGTTGTTGGTTCGAACCTACTGAGAGGCGCCTCAGAAGAAAGCCCTGGCCATCTGCTTCCGAAAGGTCACAGCCATTGAAAACCCCATGGAGCGGCTGTATTCCGACACACATGGGGGCTCCATGAGTTGGAGTCAACTTGATGGCAGCTGACGTGTATGGTTTATTAAACACTAGAGCAGGGTCAGGGGGTGGGGGCAGGGCTGGGGAAAGTCACAAGGCAAAGGAGACAGTTGGGGTGGCGCTTATTGAAGGGGTGAGACTTGAGCAAAGATTTGGAGGCAGCGAGGGCGGGAGCCACCCAGGGATACCTGGGGGACAGCATTCCAGAGGGGAAGCAGCAACGACAAAGGCCTTGGGCAGGACTGTGCCTGGTGTTGTGGGGCAGCGAGAAGGGCCCATGACTGGAACAGAAGGAGCGAGGAGGAGAGTAGCAGGTGGTGAGCCCAGAAGTAACCAGGTCCGGATTGTGTGGTAAGGGCTGCAGGCTGCACTCTGGGAAATACTGGACATTATCGGAAAGTTTTTAATAGGGGAGATGGCATCTGACTTACATTTTGAAAGGACTGCTCTGCCATCTGTGTGGAGAAGGGACTGTAGAGGAGACAGAGGACCAGGGGGCAGTTGGGGAACAGATGCGGTCACCCCATGGTGGAGGTGGTGAGAAGTGGGGCCAGTGACAGACTGGATCCAGGGTCAGGTGTGAATCCAGGCCTGGTTTTTGGCCCGAGCATCTTGAAAGATGAGGTGCTGTTAGTTAAGCTTGATAAGGGTTTTGGCTCGCTGGTTCGGAGCCACAACTAAATAAAATTCATTGTTGGAGAAAAACATTTGGCTCCTAGGGTGTTGCTTTTTTCTTTCTGTAAACAGTGTGTCTAAGTCACTAGGAAAAATGGGTCTTCTTGTCTGTATCCCAAAGCCACTCTCACTTCGAGAAGGGACGTTTGGTGTTGGTGCTGGGAGAACGACCCGGAGTAGACAGCATTTGGGCAGACAGAGTGGGAGTCTGCAGGGGGAGCCTGTGTCGGCTGCTTTTACAGCTGCCAGTGCTCAGAGTCCTGCCTGGCATCCCAGCCCCTGCCCGCCCCCACCCCTCCCCCCGCCCCAGGCCCTCTGACCTGTGTCATTGCCTTGCAGGGTCTGTGGCATAATCAGCACGTGGGCCCTGGTGGCGTTTGTTCTTGGAAGACCCAGTGCCTGAACACAGCATGGCTGCTGCCCGCTTGCCCTCCCAGGACACCCGTCTGGGGCTGGCTTTGTGGGAATCACATTCCATCTGCAGATGCCACTGTCCAGTGCTTCCTTGGGATTTTGTGATGTTCTGAATGTGATATTCTGTAAATACTCTCAATGATAAAGAAATCCTTGGATGGGTTACCTTTATTTGTGGCCAACACTTTTCTTTCTCTAAGAGATTGGGAAGAAGTCCCCACCTCTGGGGAATTGAGCCAGTTTTCCAGAGTGTTTTACGAACTGATAATTATGACAGGAGCAGACACCAAATGAATAAAAGGCTATATTACTTCTGGGAGAAAAAATAATGGTCAGTAGGCTGATGGGAATTTAGATCTGAGAAATACCCTTCCTAAGTTTAGTAAAGGAAAAAAGTGAAGTTTGGACCAGTCAATGTCCAGTGCGTTGGTGATGTTTTGCTGAGTATTATAAACCATAAAACGTGAATATTCATTTTAGAAAAAAAAATCATATCACAAGTGTATACCTTGAAAGTCAGGGTGTAATCCAGTTATTTTTTTTCCTGTGCAGTTTCCCACACTTCACTCGGCTTCATCTGTACTTTTCTAAGGATCTGTACTTGACTGAGCTGTTTGCTTGAACTTGACTTTACAGGTTCAGCAGGGTCTTCTTAAGTTCAGTCTTGAAGAAAAAATTTTCGTTTATAAAACAGAAGCATTAGTGGTGCTGGCTGCCCAAGTGGAGAGTTTTAGAGCTGCTTTTCCAGAAGTCAGAGCCCTGTCTTGAGGGCTGGTGAGTGCGGCCAGGGACGGATGGGCCACTGTCCCCATGGGGTCAGGGCCAACTCGTGATTGCCGAGTCACATGGGGGGGAGGTTGACTCATTTGCCCGAACAGCATCATAGTGGATGTGTTTTTGTTTTTCTAATAATTTCAGAAGAGAATCCTTCCCTGTTCTTTTGTGGGCTTTTGGGGCCCGCTTGCTTTTGGGTATGCCCTGCATTAAGTAAAGAAACCGGAAAAGTGAAAGCAGACTTCCTGGATGAGTCTCCTGAGAGGGTAGGAGCAGGGCTGAGCAGTGTAACTTGTTTATATGGTTGTAGACCATGAGAGAAGGAGCCCTGGTGGTGCAGTGGTTAAGCGCTCAGCGGCTTACTGAAAGGTCAGGGGTTCGAACCCACTTGCTGCTCTGCAGGAGAAAGATACAGCAGTCTGCTTCTGTAAAGATTACAGCCTTGGAAACAACCCTTTGGGGCAGTTGTACGCTGTCCTGTAGGGTCGCTATGAGTTGGAATCAACTGAACGCAATGTATTTGGTTTTGGTTTTGGTTTTTTAGAGCATGAGAGACGCTTCAGTGGTTTTGGCTGGACCTGATTAATTTAATTCTTATCCATGTAACAAGCTTTTATTGAGCACCTGTTGCATGTGCCTTCAGCACGGCACATGGGGTCTTCGTAGCGTCTGCCTCCGGGTGTCCTGGCCGACCACACAGCCTGCGCCGCCCCCTGCTGGTCTCCCGAGGACGCACAGGGCAGTGTGAGAGTCCATTAGCCCAGGCTGGGTTTTTATTAACTCACCTCAGAGTTCTTTATCTTTGGGCACAGTCAGAAATGTGAAGGGGTTCAGGGAGCACCCCTCGTATCCTTACCGGCTCATCCTGTCCCCGTGGAAGAAGAACCAGCTGGGGCGAGGCCAGCTTCGGGCCCCTTCTGTCTGTGAGAGCTTGGCGCTGCCTCCTTCACCTTCTCTCTCTCTCCCATCTTTCTCCTCAGAGCTGTCGACTTCCTTCTCCCATGGTTAAACAAGAAACCGAGAAGCAGGTAACCCAGGCGCTCTACTCTTCTTCGCCTCCGCCCTCCTCTCCCTAGTCCACCAGTTCTCCCTGCAGCCCTGTGAGCGGGTGCTCTGTGCCTTTTCTCACCACCACACACTCCTCACACCTCTGGGTTTTTTCACCATCGCCTCACTCTTCAGGGAGCCCCGGTGGTGCAGTGGTTAAGAGCCTGGCTGCTAACCAGAAGGTTGGCAGTTCCAATCCACCAGCTGCTCCTTGGAAACTCTAGGGGCAGTTCTTTCTCCTGTAGGGTCACTATGAGTTGGAATCGACTTGAGGGCAGTGGGTTTGGTTTTTCGGTCCGGGTCAGTCCTCAGACCTCTCTCCATCTTTCCTTCATCACTGTTGGCACTTAAGATCTCTGGGTCTTTTCACCATCGATTCGCCCCTTAGACCCCTGCAGGGCTGTGCCCAGCCCCTCTTAGAGGCCCCGGTCTACAGCGCCTGGCCTCCTGCTGACTCCTGGGGCCTCAGTGCAGCCACACCTTCCTCCTGGCGCTGTCTCCTCCGTATCTGGTTTGTAAGCTTCCTTCTGTGCTCATTTTCATGAGCAGGCCTTCCTCAGTCCTCAAGGACTCCTCATCCTCAGCTACGTGACAGTGACTCTGAGGTTGGTTCTCCAGCTGACATCTCTCTCGGGGGGCTCAGCTCCACCTGTTGAGCCTTCCACAGACCCTTCATACTCCACCTGGGCGGTGGACCGACTTCCTCCACACGGCCTCACACCAGGAGGTGTGGCTGCCTTTCCAGGCCTCCTAGCAGAGGCCTCCTCTGACTCCTGACTCTGAAGTGTGGCCGCCTCTCCAGGCCTACTAGCAGAGGCCTCCTCTCTCTGACTCCTGACTTGCGCCATGAGGTGTGGCTGCCTCTCCCAGATCTTCCTGACTGGCCGGCACATCCTGCCTGCACTTCTCCAGTGAATAGTTCCTCCACTGCTGCTGGGTTGGCTCAGGCTTCTTTATACCCCATCATCTAACACCAGAGGAGCCCTGGTGGTGCAGTGGTGAAGCCCTTGGCTGCTAACCACAGTTGCTCAGAGGGAGAAAGATGTGGCATTCTGCTTCTGTAAAGATTTATAGCTTTGGAAACCCCATGGAAAAGTTCTAGTCTGACCTATAGGGTCACACTCTTAGTCCAAATTGATGGCAATGGGTTTTTTTTTAATGAACACAGTCTAGATCATATTAGCAGTTCCTGCGTGCCCTCCTGCCTCTGCTTCTTGCCCTCACAGGCACAAGCGGGATCTTGAAGACAGATCTGCTCAGAATCCTTCCGTGGACTCTGCACCAAGGTCCCCAAGCCCTGACCTCCGAGGCGGGGTCCTGCCACCTCTGCCCTCCTCGCCCGGATCAGTACAGTCTGAGCGCGGGCCCCCACTCACTCGCGTCCCCCCCTCTTCCTGCCCTCCCTCTGCTCCCTCAGAGCTCAGTTCGCTGACATCTTCCTCGTGGTCCTCGCGTGTGGCGTGTCACTGCCACCCTCGACCCCTCTGAAGCGCGGCCTGGCGTCCAGCCTCATCCAGACTTCCCGAGTGCATTCCCGAGCCGCCGTCCACCGCGGCTAGGCCTGGATGGAGTTTGAATCGTTAGTGCTGCTCGCGCGAGGCACTTCACAGGTGAGGCCAGGTGCAAATCCCTGCAGGCCTGGTGTGGTCTGCAGTCGGGGCGTGGGCGGGGCCGGAGGGCGCTGTGGGGGCCAGAGGGCGTGGGCGAGGTCGGAGGGTGGGGCGCGGTCGGCGGCTGTTGCTATGGCCGCGGGTGGAGCCAGCGGGTGGGTGGGGCAAAGGGATGTGGGCGGGGCCGGAGGGCGTGGGCGGGGCCGGAGGGCGTGGGCGGGGCCGGAGGGCGTGGGTGACGGTCGGAGGCCCGGGCGAGGTCGTAGGGTGGGGCGGGGTCGGCGGGTGTTGGCATGGCCGCAGGTGGAGCCAGCAGGTGTGGGTGAGTTGAGGCGGGACGTGGGCGCGGCCATGGGCGTGGCCTGGGCTGGTGGGCGTGGGCTGGACGGGGTGGTTGGGGTCCTAATCAAATGGTCGTTGCTCTTAGAAGTTTGAACCTTGTTTCTTTGTAGTTTAAGCTATTTCCATGAGATATGAGATTTTTGTGTGGGAAAGATTGACTAGAAATAAGTCTTAAAAATTAACGTCCTAAGATTAGCTAGCCTTTCTCTTTGTATCCTCCAACTGCCTTTCTTTTTCTCTAAAAGATATAGAAGTTGATGTCATTCACTGTTCCTGCAGAAAGCTCTTATCTTTCTGTCGCCTTTTTCGCACATTCAGTGTTTCTTGGGCTGTAACATGATGTGTTGCTGGGTGCCGCTTAGTCGGTTCCGACTCACAGGGACCGTACAGACAAGGAAACACTGCCCGGTCCTGCGCCATCCTCACAGTCATGACAGAGGTTGTAAACTTCGGAATACTTTTTGACTAGGGAGAAAGCAAAGCCTGTTACTCTCTGACCGTTAAACATCCTTGATGTCAATTTCCATACATTTGTCTGAAAATGTGATGCAATCCTAATTAAACTTTCAGGGTCTTTTTGGTGGTGGTGGTGACTTGCTAAAATACAAAATTCATTTGGAAAAGTCAACAGGTAATCAGGAAACATCTGAAAAAGAAAATTAACCAGGGTGACTTTGCCCTGCCTGACATACCGCGCTGCATTGCGCTCAGGTGTTCGTTTTCCCTATTTGAAAAGCTTTAAGATCGAGATACGTCTTACAATCAGTGGTGTGTCATAGTTTAATTGGCGGTATTTTCTCCAGGTACCTAAAATGGTGCACCTTGTAATTGCGTGGTAGATTTGATGAAACTGTGGTATCATAAAGCTCTAATGAATACATTGTGGGACTCGCATAGAAATAAAAAGAATATAGGTACTGCATATAGGAATTCTGCTATGATAAAGGTGTTATATTAAATCTGAGGGAAAGATGAATTGGACAAGTTTTGGGAGTTGGCCGTTTAGAAAAAAATAGAGTTGATCCTTAATTTAGTCTTTATACCAAAATAAATGGAAGATATTTCATAGATTTCAAGATAAAAAATAATATAAATAATAGAAGGAAATAAAAAACATTTACTCTGGGGATGAGGATGGCCTTTCTAAGCATTAAACAAAAGCTTAAAGTTGTAAATGTAAAGGTTTTCTCTTGTTTTTCTGTATTTTCGAGGGTTTTTTTGTGTGATGAGCATGCATTTCTATTATTTTAACCATGAAAAAATATTTTTAAAAATGATATTTGTGTTGAAAATAGAAGGGTCTTCTCGTGCTTGGGGGGAAAGCCTTCTGAGATATTTTGTAGTGCTTAATTTCATTTAATTCAATGCAGTTACTTCTATTTGATGCTGTAAGAAATCGTCACAAACTTAGTGGCTTAAAACAACACAAATGTGTTGTTTTAAATGGTGATCTCCTTCGGAAAAATCAGCCATTGAAAATCCTCTGGAGCACAGTT